CTAATTTATATATTTTAGTGTTGATCAAATATTTAAACTGTTCGGAACAACCCAGCTCAGAATCCAGACAAATGTTGGCTAGAAGAGTTTTTTTTCCACTGGTCGTTAACATAAATATTTTTTGTATTTAATACATTATTATTATTATTATTATTATTATTATTATTATTATTATTATTATTATTATTATTATTATTATTACATGTGTGAATTAGTACCATAGTTTTCTTTGGAAGTCAAAGTCCAGTCTGACAGAGTGAAGCTACACAGCAGATTCATTAGACAGCACCGAAACACCATCTGCGGTGTCACCATCTGATGGAGAGAGAGAGGGCGAGAGAGTGGCTCCATATTGTTTATGACAGAACCAAGATGAGATTTTAACACCTGGTTTTATTGCCTAACAAATGAAGACAGGCTGAAGGTGATTATTTATATCTGTTAATTAAGTTTATTATGATGAGAGGATTTGCTTCCCTCGCCCCTGTTGTTAATAATGTCTATGTCTACTGCACCAGGTTGCTGCCGTAAACATAGACATCATCCCCGCACATCTGATATTACAGAACATGTTTTTAATGTTTACAGCGGAACACAAAATAAATAAAAACCGTGAAGGCAAATGAAGGAAATGCTTTATTTTCAAAGAACTTCCTTAGTGGATTCAAACTGGCCAAATTTAAATACACAAAGACTATTTATGAAGATTTAATTTGATTTTTTTATTACAGGTGCTTAAAACAATTTTAAATACTAAATGTGTAGGTTTTTTTGTTAAATATATTTTGTTCTTTATCAAAGGTGTCCCAGTGTTGTTTTCTGGCACACCTCTAAAACTCCTCCAAATTTGATTCTAGTGTTGACCCTTGTCTAAAGTTCAGTCTTCAAGTCTTTGTTTTACCTTTATTCAAGTCAGGACTTTGCTCAGGTCCATAAATATCATTAACTTTGGCGCTAGAGAGATTTTTCCCCTCTAATCTGCTAAAAAAGTTTTTTTTTTTTGCTTACCTTTTTTTTAACATTTTAATCACTTTCTTCACCATATGATTTGTTAAAAAACCTTTTTGTATTAAAGCAAAAGCAAAAAAACAGAAAACAAAAAAAACAACTAGCCTAACATTTTAGTCCCAAATAAAATCCTTAAGACGTGTATTAAGTAAAAGATCCTTATGATCTTTACAGCAGCTGCTGTTACACACAAAACAGCTGCTGGATTTAGTACAACTTGAATAAATGTAATCCCTAGAAATGAAAAAAGAAGACAGTGTTTCTCTTTGTGTTCCACGTATCTTTGTCCAGAGCAGCCCAGCAGTTTGGACCTGCTGAGTGAGCAAACCTGCTCTGCAAACCAACTCTGTCTCTGTCCCTTCTTCAGTCTCACTTCTGTTGCCGCAAATGGGACGGCAACCACAGGGTCTACCCTACAAGCAGCAGATTAAAGGATTACCATTAATTAGATGTCAGGGACAGAGAGGGGCTTTGCCTGTCTTGGCCATGATACAATATCTGTTAATCTGCTGCGCTCCTGGATAAAAAGAAATCAGTCCATTGACAGAAAAATAGCAAAAGAGGGATGGGGCCAGAGAAGAATTGAAAATAAGAACAAAGAGTCGAAAGAAGGTGGAGGAGGGCTGGCTGAAGAAGATTGGAAGACGGATGAAAGAGGAGACCTAAAGCAAATATACCCGTGGTCCACTTGAACGTACGCCGGGGCTTTTGATATAAAAAGAACAGCAGCTGGTGATAATTAGAGGCACCAGGGTGTAAAAGACAAAAAAGCAGGTAATAATGAGTTAATAACACAGTGATCTATGGAGAAGCAGCTCAGTGAGGAGAGTGGTGGCTGAGGTGACAGTCACAGATCTGACTGTTGCTTACGCAGGTTATATATATATTTGACATTTTTAATATAAAATACAATTCACAAAGAAATGATAAAAATATGAAATAACAAGGTGCTGTAAAATAAAATAAAGACGCAGCAAATTTGGTTAATTTAAAATGACATCTTTTACCCCAAAATTGCTGTTTGTGCATAACATACTTCTACTACTTCTACTTCTATGTTTATCTATATTAGGTATTGCACTGATAAAAACTATATAAGTCAATAACAACATCAAAATTGTTGGATGTGATTAACTGCCCAGGATATTTTTTAATTTTATATTTAAAAAAATAAAGCTACACATTAGATAAATAGTTAGTTAGATAGAATGTTTGAAAATGACAAATTATTTTCCTGGTGAGATCCCACAATGGAACTCTTTTTTAAGTTCTTTTGAAGATAAAAAAAAGTTTTAATTAATGTCTATTACTGATGCACAGGCCCTAATAAATTTTAAGCTCCACAGCGCCACATAGTGGTCACATTAAAATGTGCATGCATCTTCTCTGAAATATGAAATTTGTATGAAATTCCACAATTAAATCTGCATTATTCATGTAGTTTTTTTCATAATCAGATTAAGCGTGTCCTGTGAGCTAATACTGAACTGTACAACTTTCAGATCAGGTTTTTTTTGGTCACAAACACATGTTAAGAGGTGCTTGGAGCCATATGTGGTAGGTTTACCTATAATTTAGTCGATGTAACATTGGTCACAAAGATGCTGTCAGTCCATCAGCTTTTCCCTGCATCACTGCAGCTGTATGGTTGTCAAAAAAAAAAAAAAAAATAGCAGCTGCATTTCACAGATAGAATGTTCATTTGTACAGTCATGTCATTCTTAATTGAAGAATCGCTCCAATGGATAGCGGTTAAGTCAGGTGATTGACAGGTGACTAGGTTCATGTTTGATAAGACACCGGTCCATAATGGGAGTCTCGACCCTTACAGTTATTGCTATTAACCCGAGGCAGACTGTCCATGTTGACTTCAACTTTCTTTGACAGGGAGTGTGATACTGCGCCTGAGGCTAGTTAAGTAGAGGCCATCAAGGTCCTGTTAAACAGCAGCCTCCTGCCCAGCAGATAACACTCAGCCGCAGGTCATCCTGGTTAGGGAACTGTCTTCATGGTCAGGGTGTATCATTCACACTGAGGCTACAGCTGTGTCTGCTTTATTACCTGCATTTACACACAGGTCGGTAAAATTGCTTGTAGGAAATCTAAAATTATCTGAAAAGGGAGTTTGATCATAGAATATACAATCATGCATTTTGTGATTTTTTTTTTTTTTTTTGAGCGCCGGAAGGCAAAAGCCCTGCAAATTTGTAGTACTGCAGCCAGTACCAGCTAATGTAAATTTGAGTTGTGAGGGGGTAATTGATGGAAAAGGGCTTGGACATCATTTTCTTACAGCCAGGCACAGGGCATTCCCTCTATTTGAGTAGAGGGACTTTGGGCACCCCCTGTGAGCCCCTCTCGCCTGAGACTCTAATTACTTTGGGGACCTGGAGAATTCAAAGGATTTAGATATGGCAAAAAAGGAATTTCCAATTTGCTGCACCACTTGATGTTTGTCTTCGTTTGCGGCATGTCTTGTGCTCCGGGAACCAAACAGAAACTAAGTGCACATTTGTGCATCCTGATAAAAGCAGTAACATTATTAGCACACTGTCGTGGGTCTCTTTAGCCCTGGGGAGTGTGTTTGGATAATAATCTCCTGGACAAACACACTGTAACCTCCGACTCTGTCTGATCTATCTTCATCTGACCGAGCTCAACCCCTGCCTGTCTGGCCGAGGACATTTCTGCTCATGCTGTGCTGCAGCCACTGCCACTTAACGCAGGCAATAAATTACCTCATGACACATCACGACAGCACTATCAGTTTCGTCGCTCAGTTAACTCGTAGCTTATTTATTTCCGCTGGGCCAGTGTGTACTGTAGGCATTAACATGTGAAGCAGCCACTGATTATTCACTGTTGAATTATTATTGTTCTGCACACGATATGATAACTCTACGCACTGGCGATGCCTGTGGTCCAGAAGGTTAATGATGTGGTTACATGGAAAGCTTTAAATTATTTCACTTAATTGGACTCTAATTCAAATACGTAATCTAATTCAAAATACTTTAAAGCATAAAGAAATACTCATTTTCATATTTCATTAGTTTGTGGCTTAGATTACATCACTGCCTGACAGAGAACAGTCCCCTGTGGACTGTAGACGTTAACTGTTTTCAACAGACCTTCCTTTTAGAACAGACTCGCTGAAACACGTGAATGAGAAACACGTTTGCTTATGAGGTCAACTGACAATAATTGCCTGGCAGATCGATCAATTAACACTTTTCTCCCACTCATGCTCAGAACTGAGGGCACATGAACGTGTTGAACATATTATAATTTTACAGTGGTGATAATTAGTGTGTTAACCTGACATTACAGCAAACAAAATACATGTGTTTTTCTCATGTAAACACATAAACTGACCTTCTGAGATACAGCCTAACATACTGTTTATGCCTGACCCCAAGATAAGTTAATGTGGTAAAAAACTCCTTCTACTTCTGTGTGTTTATGCTAAGAAGCTTAGTGACAGGTTTACATAACACTGAACTTGCGACATTTTCATAACTTTGTAATTTTTGTAACTGATGCAGTCATACAATTACGAATACATTTCTTAATAATAACACAATGCATTTCTATAAAACTACTGAGACACCATGAACTACTTGTTATTTCTTTATTACACATTACATTTAATTAAATGAAAAGTAGTGCTGGATGTTAATATAACAACAAGTTTGCGCAAATTAATCTTTGACCCATAGGAAGCACCAGTAATACAGTGTAGTAGTTTGTTAACTCACTCAAAGATCAAGCTTTCTATGCTTTCAAACTCCATAACTTCAATGTAAAGAAGTAGTTTTTCACCAAGATAAAAACTAGGTTATGCAACTGTGTACACCACACACAGAACTGTGAAGCCACTGGATTAACGGCCTGCTAACTTGCTAACAGCCATCATGTTAATCTTTAACTGCCAAAAATCAAAGGCATCTTGTTAGCAGAGTTATACTGCGATGTACAAAGTCTACTGAAAAGGACAGCAGTCCAGTGAGATGACTGAGTCACATTAATGTTCTTCCTTTCTTTCTAAAATACAATGTCTACGATCAAACTCTCATTTAAATTGAGAGCGCATCATAACGAGCCCGTATTTCATATAAACCAGAAGAGGTTTTTTTCTCACAGAAAGCCGCCATTCAACACACAGTTCAATTCTACACTCTGTTCCATTTACATGTGCATGTGTACATATAGTCAGCAAATGTCCTGTCAATGTCCAAGTCAGGGCAAAATTCATAAATACAGAAAACACAGGCTTGTACTGTAGTGCAGTGTGTGTTCCTCACTTAATACATTTTGGAGCGTTGGATTTACGGGGCTACTAAAGCAGTAAAAGCTGAATATAAAAAGATGTAATGTCACCAAATGAAACAATACAGAAGCACAATGGAAAAATGAGAATTTATTAGAAATAATATTCCCAGTGATTCAGTTGTCGTCCGGTCGGAGCGCCCCTGTGCCTGTGCACAGTCCCATGGCCAATGAAATGAAGGAGAGTGAAAATGGCTGGTAAACCTTCCATCATCTCCAGTCTTCCCTATTTAACAGGGTTTTTTTCACTCGCTCTGAGTGGCAGAGACCAGTAAAGCCACCGTGTTTTATGGCCATGCAGCACAGAGTTGACAGAGATTGGGCACCAGAGAGACCTGGAAGGAAGTCACAAAGTCACGCAGGACAGAGAGCGGGGGTTAGTTGAGTGGACCTACACTGACAGGATCTGCTGTTGTTAATGGTCAAAGCGTTAATGCCACACTTTGACAATCATCTTGAGTACAGGATGTCAAAGAGTACAGCCCTCCGCTGTGGCACTAGATGCCTAAGTTAGAATAAATCAGGTGTGTTTGACTCTGTGTGTGTGTGTGTGTGTGGGCGTATGACAGACAGAATGAGCGCTCTCAGCAGTAGGTGTTGGGGAGACAATCAATACTGCTCACCAAGGTGTGCGTCAACAGACCTCTCTCGTTATTCGCGGGGAGGAAGGTTGCCGCCGAGCGCGGCTGCGGAGGAGTCTGGGGAATACGGACACACATTCATAAAGGCCCCTAGATGCCTGGGCTTTGTTGTCTTTTTTATGATATGTGACAAGACAATGAGTTTATAGCACCCCTGAAAACATCCTCCACGGACGCATTATTCCTGTGTATCTTCTCTCTGTGTGTGCTGCTGTTTTTAAGGATTCACTGCTCACACTGACACCAGCTGTCCATTCAAAGGCACCTCTATTTTAGATGAGGTGATGCTTAAAATCAAGAGATGCTATTTGTGGATATCCTGTGCCTACTTACACAGGAAAAAAAGAAAGAAAAAGAATTGAACGGAAAATGACAGCAAAGAGTGACATTGAAAAGAACACATTTCTGCAACACAATGTGGCCCCTATTATCTACCACTCCCAAAGGTGTTTGTTTTTGGATTAAATATAACTACAAAATAATGGGCATATTTTTAAATGTGATAATGCAACCTGATCCTCCTGGGCACTGCTTCTTGGATGAAGATTGTGGGACAGGTCTGTTGAGCTGCAGCCCATCCATTTTTATGCGTGCTTCCAGTAAGCTGTGCCAAAGCGCTGATATTCCTCATTAGCACAATCCAGGAAAGAGTCCAGCTAATGCCTATCCACACTGCCACAACGATAGTGCAGGGTCTCCACGGGAGATTTGAAGGTCAACAAGAAAACGGCTGTAACGGATGGCGTATTGTGGCCTGTACGAAAACCCGGCTGTTTAAATGGAACCTCTTGTGCTTTTACAGAATGAACTGAAGATGAGCAGAGATGTGGTTCTCCATGCTTGTTAACGCTAAGTGAATTTGGCTGTGCAAAGAAACTGACATGCTGAGTGAGGTGACTGTGCATGCATGCATATCCAAGTGAAGCTTTTGTGATTTCCGTGCCAGCTGTCAATTTATCCTCACAGTGAGGAGCCCAGCAGCGCAGCGCACCCTCACACACGCACTCACATAGAGTGCAAATATTTGGCAACGATTTGAAGAAATACAGTCAGAGTAATTCTACCAACTCATTCATTATCTGGACGTACTCGAGATAATTCTATCCACTGAGTCCACAAAAGCCAACACTAATCCAGCCCTGAGGGCAAACCCTGAGGTGGTTGACCTCAAGCTGGCTGCAATATGGAGGCACCAACACATTTACCATAATCTCCTGAAAAATGTGCACCTTTATTCATCATTTACATAACAATATCTATTGTACTTTATTTTTCTTTAATCAATATTTTCCTTAGAAAGACCTTTGTCCTTTAAATACATTTAATTATGAATTTATCTCCAGCTTTAAAATGTTACAATATTCTAGATCTGTGTGCTGAACAAATAGGCTGCTATTACTGAGAAGATCTGATGACAGCGGTCAGCTTAAAAAACCCTCTTCCTTTACAATGCTATAGCTCAGCGCCGAACATATACAACATTTTTGACACACTAATCTAAGCATAACCAATACAGTCGATTATGATATTAACTGTGATCTGTAAGTTAAGTATTGGGAATATTTTTCCAAAATATTCAATAAGACTTAAAACAAATATAAAACTTAACCATATTAAAAAATATTTACAGATACTATAATTTCAGAGGAACTGGACACTTATGTGTAACTGGTAACATTTAAAACCAACACAGTGCTTAACTTTGTTCACGTTTCTTTGTCCAAAGCCTGGTTTGGTATGGTCCACCTGCATTTCTCATAAATGGACTGCAATTACGCACCCACTGTGTGTGTACGTGTGCTTCTGGTTGAGGCGGGGGCTTCTGGTACCAGAAAGGGCATCGGGATTACACCCACACTAGATTAAACCCACACCACTGCCTTCAGGGGATTCTGACAATTATCAGCTATGTCCTCCTGGGATGTGGGGCTGACGGTGGACAGGGGTCCTGAGGCAGTGGAGGGGGACAGTCAGGCAGGGGATGTCACATGAGTAATATCTCCATCTCAAACACTGGTCTGCCACATTGAGATAAACATTTCCTGCCAGACAAACATGGTACAAAGCATTCGTGTCTCAAAAGCACAGTTTGAGACACAGGCTTTGGGAATTTCGCTTCATGTGACTGGCTAAAGGACACCATGCTGCTTATCTGCTTTTTATTTCATCACAGGCCACAGCGGTGGTCACTAATGCCGCGGATGAAAGTGTTGTGGGTAAATATTTCCTTTCTGCTGCCCTTATACAAACAGGACTTTTTTCATTTCGGAGCTTGTTGTAAATTAAACGACTCCTCTGAGAACTCTGGGAAAGAATAGTGGATCCACATTAAGCCAACATATGCTGCTCCCTTGTCCCTTGCCTCTCAAGACGGGCTTTTATTTCACCCTTTCCCTCTATTGAACACTTCAGTCCCCTTCTCTTGAATTCCCACTTGCGTATTTTTGGAAAGTCATTGAGAGTCTTTGGCAAAGACGGCTAGGAGTGAATGTGAAAGTGTGCCCCTAGCCTTGTCGCCTCATAGTGGAACAGGCCATCTGACCACCAGCACTAGGTTGGGCCAAGTGGGGCCATTAGTCCAAAACCTATGAGACCCGTGCAGCCACCACTGCCAAGCTGCTCCAGTCTCCTTCAAGCTTCAGACTACTCTGGCCAACTCTCCTAGCAGCACCTCCTCTTCTCTTTCCCCTGCAGGTGCCAACTCTTCTGCTCAGCTAGTTCCCACTGGAGCAAACTAAAAAAAAAATCCATCCAGTCAACCCCGTTCCTGGGAGTGTGTTAGTTTGTGTAAGTGTGGGAGGGTCGGAGAGCGGGGGAAAAAAAGTGAAAGAGCGTGGTGACAAAATGGGACACGTAAACGGCGATGTCAGAAGAGGTGCCGTCCCGCTGGGCCTAATTTCATATTGTTGTCCAGATGACCTTGGGCTGGCTGCCATAGAAACATTTCTACCTTGACTTTACGAGCTGTCTTGGTGTCTCTGCGTTTGTGTGAGGACAAAGCCCTCTCACCTCAACACAGAGAGAAACCGCCAAAGGCAAAAGGCTGGAAATAATAGCGGGGCTGCTTTAGGTGTCCAGGGATGGGGAGTGTTAGCAGGAAATCTTTTGAGTTGCCCCCGTTCATGCTCCACAGCTCCTCTTCACACAGGTAGCTGTATTTGAAAGCTATTGATGGCTTGTCCAATCAATGAAACAACAAAGTCCTGAACCAAAGTGACTTAGAGAAAAGTGAGAGGAAGAGTATGTGTGTATGTGTGTGTGTATGCATGTGTGTTTATAACAGATAAAGAGAAACTGATTGCGAGATTGATCGTGAACACTCAGAAACGACTTCTACATCCCAGAATTTCTGAATATTATTACACAGTTTAAACTGTAATGTACTGTTTGCTGTGTTTGGATATTCTATGTAAATTATAGTCAGCAAGCACAATTGCACTGCTTAAATATGCACAGATCTCTTACAGGTCGAATAATTCAGCATTGAGTAGAAAAATTTGCAGCCAGACAGGAACGAGATCATGATTGTATGCTAAGGCAGAAAAACAAAACCTCTGCGTGACCGTGACCCCTGTATGTCATTATCAGCCAATCGTTTTTTTACGCTTAAGAACAAATGCAAAAGGTCCTGAATGAAGTAAGCAAACATTTGTCATTAGCATTTGCAAAGATCATTCAATTTGGTTGCATTTTGAATTACAGATTAGATAACCTGCAGACATGGACCTGCACACTGGCACACTTCCCCTCCATCATGTCTTGGACTGCAGCTGTGTTTCTGTAGGAGGAGGATTAGGAAGTACAGGCATCTATCTCTGTGCCACACCCCACCCACCGTCCATCTGCCGCCTCTCAGCACAGAACACAGAGATTCTCCCCTTGATTAGTTCACCTTCACAGCCACAGTACATTAATGATCTTAGTCTCGAGCAAACATCGCTGCACCCACCGGCAAGTATTTGTTTAATTAAGAAAGGGAGAAGAAAGGAGTATAAATCATGTTTTTCTCCCTCCTCCTCATGTTTGAAACTATTAAAAAAAAGTTAGCATTTGTTCTTAACACCAATCAAGAATTAATGGCACAGCGTCTTGAGTGTGTGTTCTAAATACAGACCAAGGGTCTGTGCGTCATTGTTTAGTATTTACACTGAGCAAGCATTTGTAGCTGGCATCTCTTTCCTGTGCAGTGCCCTTGGAACCAGGTCTTTAATATCTCAATTAAAGTCTTTCCCCTGTGCTCCCGTGCTCCGAGCACGGCCATTATCACCATGGCTCCCAGCAGAGTAATTATACCCACTGCAAACAACAACCCCCCCCAAAAAAATATTCCAAACCACATATCGCGCCCACGCTGATCTAACTTGGACCTTGGCAGACTCACCTCAGCCGCCTTGTAACCAATCAAAGAGCAGCGAGTGCCATCATTAGAATATGTGATCGACTCGGCACTGGGTGTCTCTGCAGGAGGCATTGATGAAATACCCCAGGGGAGGCCTGCCACAGCAAGGCTGCCACTAAACCCTGAACTGCCTGTCAGCAGTGCTTTGTCTGAACATGATAAGTTTGTGTTAAGAGGCTGAGCTGCCACAGCAAAGGCCACGCCCCCTGCAATCTTCAGCAGCAGAGACCTCCAAAATCTAGCCCCATATTTTACATCAGCCTGTGATGTATGGACAGCAGTGTTGTGAGGGCTT